AGCATTTGTGGACTAGATTCTATGGTCTAGGAAGTAATGTGGAGAAGCAAACACGCACAGACCAGGTGACACGGCAGGGTCGGCTTAAAACAAAAACCGCAAAACCTCAAGGATAGATGAAAGTACTTCCGCAGTTTAGAAAAATACCCTGGACTATAATGAAAAACAAATTTAAAGAGTTATTATGAAAGATCCTGAAACTTATGGAACATGATGTAACTAGTAAAGGTATATATAAAATACAGGCAACATTATAGCATCAGGTCATATTTCAGACCTGGGCTGGATGCCCAGATTTTTATAGAAATGTGCCATAAACTCAGTAATCAACTGTAAATGACATTTCTTTACATTCCTGAAATATGTAGAAATTGATAAAACTCCTCATCACTTGCCTGAGCTGGCATCCTAACTGGTGGCTCTGACTTCAGTCTCCCCGCCTTACTTTACCCGCACACCCTGCTGAGGGCGTCGGAGACTCTCCCTGGGCCCCTGAGCGTCCAGCTTTGCCACCGAGACCAGAGGGGAGACGTGCATTCCAGGGAACCTGCGGCAGCTGCACCTTTCACTTGAGTCTTACTGTCTTATCTCAATAGTTCACCATTTGTTCTGTTTTATTTCCCAGCCTATCTGTGTCAATTTCACTTTAAAAACGTTTTAAATTACCAGAAATAAAGTTGATGGTCAAGAAGAGTGCCAGGTGGTATTTTTGACGCACCTGTGCACGTTGTCGTACCTGAGAGGTGCAAATCAGGTTATGAGCGGTTTTATGTATATAATTTTCCTTCCCATGGCCTTTGGTCAGGGCTGTCAGCTTTCTCGGGTAGCGCCGCCCTTGTTCCAAATACCTCCTGGCCTTCGGATCTGTCTTCGGAATTTGCTTCCCTGGGCTGTTTACTACCTACCAGCAAAATATTTTCAATTTTATTCTCTCCTTACCGCCAGCTTTACGGATCCTCTGATCATCTCAGTGTCCTTTCCTCTGGCTCCTGAAGGTTGCAGGACTGCTGTGGTCCTGGCCTGGGGCTAAGGAAGCGGTGGGAGGAGACACGGCCCCTCGGCCGGGAACCGAAGAGACATAAGCCAACGGGACTATGTCAAACTAAAAAGGTCTGCACAGCAAAGGAAACCAATGAAAATACACCTTGCTCGGGGGGAGAGCATATTCATCAATGATACATCTAATAAGGGGCTAATACCGAAAATGTATAAAGAACGTATACAACTCAACATGAAAAAAAAATAAAACACCAAACCATTCAATTATAAAAAGATCAAAGGACCTGAATAGACACTTCTCCAAAGAGGACATATGAAGAAATGCTCAATGTCACTGATCATCAGAGAGATGCCAATTAAAACCACGGTGACTATCACCTCACACAGTCAGAATGGCCGCCATCAGTAAATCAACAAACAAGAGCTGGGAGGGTGTGGAGAAAAGGGGACCCTCGTGCTGTGCTGGTGGGAATGCAGACTGGGGCAGCCACTGCGAAAGGAGCATGGAGTTTCCTCAAAAAAACTACAAATGGAGCTGCCTTATGACCCAGTAATTCCACTTCTGGGGATATATCAGAAAAACCCAGAAACACTAATTTGAAAGAATACATGCACCCCCGTGTTCATAGCAGCACTATTTACAACAGCCAAGATTTGGAAGCAGCTAAGTGCCCATCAGTAGATGAGTGGATAAAAAAGCTGTGGTACATGTACACAACGGAATACTACTGGGCTGTAAAAAAGGAAGGAACGTACCCTCTGAGACAGCATGGAGGGACCTGGAGAGCGTTATGCTCAGTGAAATAAGCCAGCCAGAGAAAGACAAGTACCACATGATCTCACTTGGATGTGGAATCTAATCAGAGGGGAGAGTATTGGGGGGCTGGGTGTAAAGGGTGAAAGGATTAAGCAAAAATACAAACAAAAGCTCTCGTAGACACAGGCAACAGCGTGGTGGTGAACACAGGAAAGGGGTGGGGGAGGTGGGAGAGGGTGAGGCAGGGGTGAACGGTGATGGAAGGAGACTCAGCGTGGGGGTGAACACAACGCAGTGTGCGGATGATGTACTGTAGAGCTGCACACCTGGAACCTGTGCCTTGTTATTGACCAAGGTCACTGCAGTAAATTCCGTCAACGTTTAAGAGGTGTCAGTAGGAGAACTGAGTCTGTTATCTGGATCCCGTCCGGAGGGGGAGACCATGCAGCGATGTGAACAGGGACTGTGTGGCGCACATCATCAGTGTGAATCACAACAGGAAACGGCAGTACTAGGCAGTGGTCAGTGAGACATGAGAAGAACTCTAACATGCAGGTGGGCTGGAACAGCTTACGTGAGGGGCGGCCACTGCCCTCAGGGCTGACATCGAACCCCAGAAGGCCCTCCAACCTTGTTGGGGAGGGCATGGCTGTGGCTCCCTGGACCGTGGAGAAGTCACTCTGGTGCTGGGGGGCTCTGTGCTCTGCAACGTTCCAGAAGTCTTCCCTTCAGAGAGTTGGTGGCGCTGTCCCTGGCAGGTTCCCCCCAGAGGCACTCTGCTGCATAGCTGCCCGGGAGGGGCCGCCAGGCACCTGCCAGGCTCTGGGCGCCCCCGCGGTGCACCAGGAGGAGGAGACCCCGTCTCCTGCGCTCCTCTGCGGGGTCCTCCCCTGACCAAGGCCACTGGGCCAGCGGGCCAGGGAGAGCAAGAGCGCAGACCCAGGTTCAAGGACAAGCAGTTGCGGGTCACAAGGCGCTGGAGAGCAGTGCATTGGTGACTGGTAGGGTGTGGGCAGTCAGACTGACTTCTGTGTGCTTGGAGCCCCTGCACGACAGTGTCTGAGTGGAAAGGCAGGCGTGGTCGGATGTCCATTACATCATGGTTCCCAAAGGGGACGGTGAGTGCGAGTACGAGTGTGCGTGGTGTGTGTGCGTGTACACATGTGTGTGCATGTACACATGTGTGTGCGCATGTGCGTGCGCGTGTGTGTGCACGTGGCTGCCCTCCTGGTGTACTAGTGTCAGTGTACGGGTGCCAACACAGCGTTCCTGGGAAAAATCTTTCCTTTTTTCTCAGAGTATACTCATTTTAAACGGTTTTAATATTTTTATTTTTTTAGTGATATAGTGGTCATAGTGATAGTTTTTCTTGTTGTGGCTGTTTTATTTGTCTTAAAGTTATTTCTACTTGACAACAAAATAATAACCCTGTATTAGTATTCTTTCCATTTAAAAAATTACACTGGTCTGTGAAATTCAAATCTGGAAACCGTTGCACCCAGCTGCGAATCTGTTTGTGTACATTGTGGCAAGTTGCTGTGCTTCAGTGAAATGTGTACAGTTTTGCATTTAGAAGCTGGGAAACATTTGTGACATTCTATTAGACACAGTGACACGAGAACTTATGATCAGAACGTCAGTGGTAGCTGAGGCCATGCAGTCCACAGTCATCTTCACCACCTACGCTGACCAGTGACAGGCAGGGTGACCACTTCTTCAGATCTCAGAAGTCAGGTGGGGTTCAGTGATTCTTCCCGGGCCTGCAGCACGGACACAGCAGAGCCAAGACGTACACGGTGTGTCACAGACCCCGAAATGTTTCAGGATTTGAAGAGATGTCTGCCGCCCCCAAAACCTTCAGTGTCTAGGGAAAGACAAAACCGGAACTAAGCAGTTAAACGTGGAATTTCCAAAAAATAAAAAGACCAGCAGATCATTTATTTGGTGTATGTGTGTACACCCACATATACATAATTCCAGGCAAAAGGAAGCATAAAAAGGAACTTCATAGCTTGTTTTCAAAGCTTAAGGAGTATCATGTACATGAAACTCAACGACTAGTCTCCATGTTCACCAAAGCGAGTGTAAGCGTAGTTGATTATACCGAGTAAACCAGTGCAATAGAAAGTGTGTTTGTGTGTTTTTAATATACGTGAGTGTATCAGGAAGGATGGGTGTTGCAGATCTGACTGTCGTGGCGGAATTGAGTGTGAATTTCCCTGCATCACGCGGCAGGAAGTCCATCCACGGGCCGTCACTTAGACTGTGCCAGTAGCTCCACTTGGTGCCACCCTCAGCCTCGGCACCGGCCCTGCTGCTGTGGTGTACAGCCTCCTCCGGTGCGTGCCCTCACCCTCCTTTCGAGCAAGAAGCGGGAGGACTGTGCCAGCTACAAAGGACTGATCTGTTCTCATTAGCCAGTGTTGGGTCAAACGTCCTTACCCCTGGTGGCAAGGCATCCTGGGAAAGCAAGGAATACCTGTCATGACCGGCTGAGGTCGCAGGTTAGCAGGCCTGGCCCTTGGTCACCACTGGCTGAGGTTGCAGGTTAGGCGGGCCTGGCCCTTGGTCACCACCGGCTGAGGTCGCAGGTTAGGCGGGCCTGGCCCTTGGTCACCACCGGCTGAGGTCGCAGGTTAGGCGGGCCTGGCCCTGGGCCGGCGCCCTGCTGGGAGTCAGTGCCCACGTGCACCCCCACGGCCGCTGTTTGCGCCTGGTCTGCAACCGCTCCGTGCTCAGTGGCCAAGTCACAATGAACCACAGGCCGCAAAGCCTGCAGACACCGCTCTCTGCCCTTCTACCAAAAGGTTTCCCGACCTCTGGCTTAGACCTGTCGGGGCCCGTCACCTGGGGTTGCCACACGGACACGGAAAGGGTAACGGGGCTTTCGCTGAGCGAGGAAGGAGGTGGAAAGGGGGCATCAGGAAGGAACCAAGGGTTCTGGCAGCTCACCCGGCCGACTGACTCCATACAGGCCGAAAGTTACAGTGTATTTTCCGTGCTCACAGGGTCATAGTGAGCACGCAACATTTTTGCTTATTCATTTCCAGTTTAAAAAATTAAGAAAGGTAAAATTTTGCAAATATATAGAATTAAGTGATTGACAATGTTGTGATGTATACTGAGTTCAGGAAAACGATCCCTGATTGCTGACTTCTACGTAGCGCTGCGTGAGACAGCGTCAGACCGAGTTTTAGACGCATGCCCCCCTGATTGACACGTCCCTGTCATCTGTGTCTTCCAGGTCCTTGCCTACACTGAGGGCCTCCACGGAAAATGGATGTTCAGCGAGATACGAGCTGTGTTCTCCAGACGATATCTTCTACAAAACACTGCCTTGGAAGTGTTTATGGCAAACCGAAGTAAGTCCCCTGAAATACTTTGGAAGAAAATGCGCTCGTATTTGAATGTTATTCATTGGCATGGGGTAATTCTGTCTTGACTTTTCCCTGCTGTATTTCTCTCCATTATCCCCCACTAAAAAGTAAGAAAGCATTCATCTGTTTGGAAATGTGAATCCTAGATTTCTCATGGATAAAGTTTATGCAGAGAGGGGTTTCCATGAAGAGATATAATCTCTACAAATAAATGGTGCTAAGCACTTGAAAATGATTTCTGAAATTGATGGCTTGTTGTCCTTTGCTTTTCTAATCATGTGTTTACTTATTTCCACAGCCTCAGTTATGTTTAATTTCCCTGATCAAGCAACAGTGAAAAAAGTTGTCTATAGCTTGCCTCGAGTGGGCGTAGGGACCAGCTATGGTTTGCCACAAGCCAGGTAATTATGTCATGTTATACATTATCTATGGGTTTTACAAAACATACTTCATTTTTAATAAGACAAAAATATAAATAGGGTTATGCAATTATAATTATTTTGAGAACCAGGAAATTTTTTTTCTTTGCCGGTTATTTGTAGGGAAAGAGGTTATGAAAATAACTATTTTAAGAATGACAGAATAATTAGGGCATAATTTTATATAACACATATATAAATGAGGAAGTAAGAAAGTTGGTTAGATACTACAGTTAGTACATAATTAAGACATTTTGCCTGCAGTCTTATGAGAAACATACCAAAAGCTTCGTGATGTTTGCAATTGTAATGTAATAGCTCATAAATTGTTCTTACAAATGTTTCTTCATTAAAATAATAAAACTCCTAGAGTTTATTGAGATTAATAGTCATTCTTTACTGTGTGGTTTTAACCATTTCCTGAGTTTTTTATCTTGGTACTTTTAAAGCATCATTTTGAAATCTTATTTTATTGAAGATACTAATCTAAGTAGAGAACCGTAAATTGTGTGTATCACTAGTATCAGTTAGTCCGATTTTGGCTCCAAGGGACTGAACGCATGACTGAGTGGCTCACAGGACGGGCTGTTCGCTTCTGCGCTGGAGGTAACGTAGAGGTGTAGGTGGCCCCTGTGGGCTGGAGTTTCGGTGAAGCTGGCGCTCCAGTCGGCTGAGTGTTCTCACAGTGGACTCTGCTGCTACAGACGGCACCTGCCCGGGAACGCACGCAGGTGGGAGAAAGCACCGGGCTCCCCCAGAGCCCTCCTGCTTCAGGGGAGTGTACCCCGATCCCTCAGCCAGGAGGGGTCGCCTCCCGCCCTGAGCATCACTGCCTAGGGGCTGTGTCAGTGGCTCAGCCCAGGAACTCAGGGACGTTCCTCCGAGCTCCTTGCACCGCCTCCCTGAGAGCACAGGTGTGTGCTGGCGAGGACGCAGCTGTCAGCGGGGCGGACAAGCTAGGACCCGGGAACCGCCGCACAGCCCTGCGTGGATGGGGCGGGCAGCCGATCTGTCTGTCTTCCTAAGTAGGCTACAGACATTAAGAAGACTGGACTGTGTCTTATTTGTCTTTTAATACGCGGGACCGAGCATCCTGCCTAATTGCGAGGTGTTTTCTAAGTGCTACTCAGCTGGAGTCAGCGCCGCAGTGTGCTCTTCTCTGAGACGCGCGCGGTGAGAGCAGTTGGCTGGCAGGTGGGCACATGCCCGGGGTGCTTGCCAGCAGACTGACGAGATTAAATTAAGGCGCGGCAGATAATGAAATACTTATGTAAAATGCAGGTCAAAAGAAAAAATGCATTTAATCTATCAAGGAAATGAAGTTACTTTTGCAAGACTGGTCTAAGCTGACCGGTGGCCGTCGCTGCTTCCTCGCCCGGTGCTCACAGACTGTGCTTAATCATCAGCTCGGGACTCTTTCCAGGAACTGACATTAAGGACTCACGAATGGCTCCAACTCTTCCCTTTATGAGAACAATCTGCCTCTGGACGTCTTGCTCAGGGGCCGTGACTCTTCAGAGATGGCCAGCAGGTCTTCTCGGGGACGGGTGTGGTTTCCTTCCGGGCCTGCTTGTCCGCACCCGAATCGGTCAGACACCCCAGAACCTTTCACTGCCTTCCTGCCTGTTAGAGCATTCTTTCCTTTTCAGGCACCTTCAGGCTTTTTGACTTTGGGAAAACCTATTTTTTTTTTATCTTCATTGTTGAGAGTATCACAGATGTCTCCCCCCTTTCCCCCCATTGCCCCCCTCCACCCAGCCCCCACCCCACTCCAGGCCTTTACCACACTACTGTCTGTGTCCATGGGCTGTGCATACGTGCATGTATGTTCTTGATTAATCTCTTCCTTCCCTCTGAGATTTGTCAGTCTGTTTCCATGTTTCCATGCCTCTGGGTCTATTTTATTCATCAGGTTATTTTGTTCATTAGATTCCACAAATAAGTGGGATCATATGATATTTGCCTTTCTCTGCTTGGCTTGTTTTGCTTAGTATAATACTCTACAGGCCCCTCCATGACATCTCAAAAGATAAGAGATCTTTCTCACAGCTGCGTAGTACTCCATTGTGTACATGTACCACAGCTTTTTTATCCATTTTTCTACTGATGGACATTTGGGCTGATTCCAGATCTTAGCTATTGTAAATAGCACTGCTATGAACATGGGGGTACATATATTATTTCTGATTGGTATTTAAAGCTTCTTAGGATATATTCCTAGAAGTGGGCTCACTGGGTCAATAGCAGTTCCATTTGTAATTTTTTTGAGGAAGCTCCACATTGTTTTCCATGGTGGCTGCACCAGTCTGCATTCCCACCAGCAGTGTATTAGAGTCCCCTTTTCTCCACACCCTCGCCAACACTTGTTGTTTGATGATTTGTTGATGGCGGCCATTCTGACGGTGTGAGGTGATACCTCATTGTTGTTTTAATTTGCATCTCTCTGATCATTAGTGACTTTGTACATTTTTCATATGTCTCTTGGCCATTTGTATGTCCGGGTTGGAAAGGTGTCTATTTAGTTCCTCTGCCCATTTTTCCATTGGATTCTTTGTCTTCCTTTTGTTGAGTTGTATGAGTTTCTATATATTTTGGAAATTAACCCCTTTTCAGATTCTTGATAGACAAACTGGAAATGAAAGAGATGTCCAGTAGTCCTAGTTGCTCTGTGATTTCTTACAACCATTCTGTCTTAAAAGACTCTTCATTGTTGTGGTTTCCTGATCAAACTCTCGACTCAGCGCAGTTTCCTGACAATTTTCTCAGAAGTGCAGTGTGCATAGCAGGTGGGGGAGCCTGGCCAGACCTGTGACTCGCCTGCTGGAGAACAGGAGCAGAGCCAGGGCTTAGCGGGAGCCCCCACGTGTGAGCTGGAAGGACGAACAGCAGCAGGTGGGAGAACACCCTCTCACCCGCTGTAGAGTCAGGGCACTCTCTTCGCCCAGAGACGCTTTATGAACGTCCTGAGGTCATGAAGTGCAGGCACTTTGTCAGCCTGAAAATATGTGTGCACTGGACACACCCATGCAGGCGTACGCATGCCGGCAGGTAGGTGGGCAGGTGGACGCTGTGCACACGTGTCTCTGAACTTCTGTGCGACACGTGAGGTCTGTGTTAGCAGACCGTCAGGAAGAAGGGTGCTGTCCTGCAGGAGCCCTTCGGCTTCGTGGGCCCCCAAGGGACCCCTTCTTTGCTTTCCTTTCTGGACATTGAGTTTTGTCGGTGTTTGCAGAGTCTATCAAGCGCTAGGAAGCTCACTCCAAGCTAAACCCTTGCAGAGACTGGTTTGTGAGCTTCCGGGGCAGATCCGCGGCAGGACCAAGGCCTGCGCCGGTCATCCAGGCCCTCCCTGCGCAGGCCCGCCAGAGGCAGGCTCCAGGCCAGGTGGCTGCTGGGCGGACGGAGAGGTGGGACGGGCAGATCCGCGGCAGAACCAAGGCCTGCGCCGGTCATCCAGGCCCTCCCTGCGCAGGCCCGCCAGAGGCAGGCTCCAGGCCAGGTGGCGGCTGGGCGGACAAGAGGTGGGACAAAGGAACGTTCCCACTGAGCTGGGACGGCCTCCGAATGCCCTTCAGTTAGTTAGTGTCCATCGCTGTCGCTCACTGGGCACCGGCGTGTGCCAGGGACTGCACTGGGCATTGTAGTTTGTAAGTGTCATGTCCCTTAATTCTTGGGGGGGGGGGTGCTTATAAACAGCAGCGTTGATTTCTCTCAGTCCCGGAGCCTAGGAAGTCTCTTGTCAAGGGACTGGCAGGTGTGGTGTCTAAGGAGACCCGCCTTCTGGGTCCTGAACGGCCGTCGAATGGCCGTCTCTTCCCTGTGTCCTTACGTGGCACAAGGGAGCCTCTGCCTCCGTCCTGACAACAGCCACGCTTTAGCAGCACAGGGTTCTTATTCAGGGTCACAGCAGGTAGTTCTTTATCTACATGACTTATTCACCTTGCCCCAGATCATGGCTCACTCCCTGAAATGTCTGCTCTGGGTCCTGCAAGGTGACCACATGGTCCTGCGGTGAGCCCTCACTCCTGCGTGGCGCTGGAGAGGCGCCGGCCCGTTGGCCGCCCCCCGCAGGGCTGCCATTGCCGCGTCTGCGTTTCCTGTGCAGCCTCGGTGCCACCAGGGTATCCGGATTTCATTCGATTCTTCACTAAGGAAGAATCTCAGTAAGACTTACTATGACTACACTGTTGTAGTCAGAAGGTCGGTTATTTTATTTTATTTTTTCAATATGTTTTTAGCCCTGGCCGGTTTGGCTCAGCGGTTAGAGTGTCGGCCCACGGACCAGGGAGTCCCGGGTTCAGTTCCCGCTGAGGGCACGTGCCCTGGTTGCAGTTTGTCCCCGGCCCCAGTTGGGGTTGTGTGGGTGGCAGCCATTCAATGTGTCTTTCTCACATTGATGTTTCTCTCTCTCTCTCCCTCCTGCTCTGTCTGAAGATAAATGCAAAAATGTCCTCAGGTGAGGATATAAAAAAATTAAATATATTTTTCTTGATTTTTTTTTTAGAGAGAGAGGAAGGGAAAGAGAGTTAGAAACATTGATGTGAAAAAGAAACATCAATCGGCTGCCTTCTGCATGCCCCCTGTTGAGGATTGAGCCCAAAATCTGGACATGTGCCCTGACCGGGAATTGAACCAGGACCTCTCAGTCCATGGGAGGATGCTCAATCCATTGAGCCACACCAGCCAGTCCAGTCAATTATTTTACATGGTCACCAGTTGTTATGACATTTAATACTTTCTATTTCAGTGGGCAGTTTTGCCTTGATCTTATCCTCCAATTCTAAAAGCATCATACTGTAGCCAAAGTGTTAACCAACTATTCTCATTCAAACATCTAACCTTGTTATAGGAACTTTGAACAGCCTTATTAATTTCCCATTTTCTTCTTCATATAGCTGCATTGATTTTTTTTTTTTAGGATTACATCTCCCTTTAGCCATGCTTCTGTTAGGGTAGATGACCAATAATTCAAATCATTAAGTATGTATTTATTGAGCCCCATTATGCCAAGCACTGCTAAATGCACAGGATGTAACAGAAAGTAAAACATAGTTCAGTTCCTGCTCTCAGCGAGTTTACAGGGAGAAAGACAGGGCAATAAACAAGAAAAACAGATCCTTTCCCCGAATTGTGTAATAATCTGCTTTTCTATGTTTATGTCCTGTGCTTGTATTTTTCTTCATTATTACATACTCTAAGAATGACATAATTAATTTCTCCCATGATTCCCATTATTTATACCTATTAGTTTTTCTTTGAAACTTTTTTCAAAGATTTTTCATTGATGTTTAGAGAGAGAAGGAGAGAGAGAGACACTGACTGGCTGCCAGGCATATGCTCTGCCCGGGAATCAAACCAGCAACCATCTGCTGCCTGGGACGATGCCCAGCCAGCTGAGCCACACTGGCCAGGGCCCTATTAGGGATTTTTAATACCTGTCAGGGTTTGTTTGGTCATTGGTTTTGGGGTGTTTTGGGTGGTAAGAATTCTTTTCACCCTAGCAGTTTTCTTCTTAAATGTCTAGGTTCAAAATGTCAACAAAGGAACTGAAAACATCATTACACACATAGGTTTTAGCAGACTGAGCTGCAGGTGAGAACGTAGTCAGGTTAGCAAGGATGTGGTTATATAGTAACAATCGTAGCAAACCGCCGTGAGCGTAGGGTTAAGACAGCAGCGCAGTGAAAACTGGGCTCACGTCGTTTACTAGTTATTTGGCCATTCAGAAAACATTTTAGCCTGTTGCCATAATCGTGGGACATTTATAACAACATAGTCACGAGGGTGGAAGCGGACCAGGGAAAACTTCAAGTGTTGGTGCCAGTGTGGATCAAACTGTGGAAGTCCTTTAGGCAACCTGTGGAACATTAGACTATGAATTAATTGGAAAATGCTCTGGATTATAGAATTAAGGCATGAAGTGTGTGCACCGTGTACCATCGCAATTTAGGGAATCGGTAGACTCAAGCCTTCTTTGGAGTGAGCAGGGCCCATTACCTCAGATATATGTAACCAGGAATAATACATGACCGGGCTGCTACGCTTCTATTAAGTTGGTATTTTAAACATGGAGTTACACAAAATTTTTCTTAAAGTTCTTAATTGCTATTTGAACTTGAGATAAGGAGTCCCATCCCACCCTACTTTCCTCCTTCCTATCCGTTAACTAACACGTGTTTAGCTCCTACTACGTACAAGACAAAGCCTATTAAGATTCCACCTGAGCGAAAATGTTCGATAATCATACACGAATTCCAAAACCGGTCTTAGGTCCACAGTTCCCCGCTGCACACGGGTGCCTGGATGTCACAGAGGCCCCCTGGGGCACCGCAGGGCGTCTCGTGTTTTTCAGCAAATAGTGACATCTCAGCTACCACACACACTTGTAGCCTGAGTCAGTGGTAAGTTCCAACATGAGATAGCTCTGTATTCTTGACATCACAGATTGGGGAAACCAGGTTTTTGGGGTTGAGGTTGTAAGAAACAAGTGCTGCCAAAAATTTGGTGTTGAACAGGAAATGCGGGTGGTGGAAGGTCGGTGTGAACAGGAAACGCGGGTGGTGGAAGGTCAGTGTGAACAGGAAACGCGGGTGGTGGAAGGTCGGTGTGAACAGGAAACGCGGGTGGTGGAAGGTCGGTGTGAACAGGAAACGCGGGTGGTGGAAGGTCGGTGTGAACAGGAAACGCGGGTGGTGGAAGGTCGGTGTGGAGCAGGAAACGTGGGTGGTGGAAGGTCGGTGTGAACAGGAAACGCGGGTGGTGGAAGGTCGGTGTGAACAGGAAACGCGGTGGTGGAAGGTCGGTGTGAACAGGAAACGCGGTGGTGGAAGGTCGGTGTGAACAGGAAACGCGGTGGTGGAAGGTCGGTGTGAACAGGAAATGCGGTGGTGGAAGGTCATTGTGGAGCAGGAAACGCAGGTGGTGGAAGGTCGGTGTGGAGCAGGAAACGCGGGTGGTGGAAGGTCGGTGTGAACAGGAAACGCGGGTGGTGGAAGGTCGGTGTGAACAGGAAACGCGGTGGTGGAAGGTCAGTGTGAACAGGGAACACAGTGGTGGAAGGTCGGTGTGAACAGGAAACGCGGTGGTGGAAGGTCAGTGTGAACAGGGAACACAGTGGTGGAAGGTCGGTGTGAACAGGAAACGCGGTGGTGGAAGGTCAGTGTGAACAGGGAACACAGTGGTGGAAGGTCGGTGTGAACAGGAAACGCGGTGGTGGAAGGTCAGTGTGAACAGGGAACACAGTGGTGGAAGGTGGGTGTGAACAGGAAATGGTGGTGGAAGGTCGGTGTGAACAGGAAACGCGGGAGGTGGAAGGTCAGTGTGGAGCAGGAAACGCGGGTGGTGGAAGGTCGGTGTGAACAGGAAACGCGGGTGGTGGAAGGTCGGTGTGAACAGGAAACGCGGGTGGTGGAAGGTCAGTGTGAACAGGAAATGCGGTCGTGGAAGGTCGGTGTGAACAGGAAATACAGGTGGGGCATCAGGCAGGATTCCAGGGTTATGAGCTGTGCAGTGCCCAGCCAGTGCGCGTCCCTTTAGTAAGTCATGGTGGTTATTAAAAAAATAAAATAAAGAATTTTCTAATATGTATTTTATTTTTAATCAGCTACTAAGTAGTTAAGACTTAAATATTTATTATGCTAGTCAGACCTAAGTACTTAATAAACAGAACTGTTGGGTGTTTGTCTTGGGCTGGGTGCACCTGGAAAAATTCCCGAGACACTAAGGGTGCAATGAATTGGAGAAAATTGGGAATGTCTTAAGTGGTGATGGTTTTAGAAACTCATCAGCCGCATCATACTTTTATGAATACAACCAACTTTCATTATTGTTTAGATAAACATGTTGAACCTTGGGAGTTTCATAATTTACACAGATTATCCTGACTTACTCCCTCCAACTATTCCTGTATCTCTTCTTCTGAATTCATACAGTTCCCAGTGGTATGTTTTGTTCACCAGTGGGCTGTGCGTTGTGGGGGTAGAGACTGCGTGTGGGCCCCCCCGTGTGGGCACCCCCTGTGTGGGGAGCCGTTATTATATCAGGTCTAAGTCCAATGCTTAGTCGCTAACTACCGAGCTTCCTAGAGTAGTGTAGATTTGCTATGTTGTTTGAAAGATACTTTGATTTATTTTTAGTCTAGTTCACGTTTGGTGTTGCTAACTTGTAAAACATCCATTTGCAGCCGTATATTCAAAATGGTCCTTTTATATCGGTCTGTCCTGAGTAACCATGTACCTGCTCTATCATAGGCATTTCAGTACTGCTAATATCTACAGTTGAAGTATGTTTTATCATTTATCTAAGAAGGACAAACCATAGATATTTTAAATAATTTATTATTTACTTCAAATTATTTCAAGTATATTAGTTACTATTGAATTTTTGCAGAGTCATGAGTTAAAAGAGACTGTTTGCCTGGTCTGTTTGATTCTAGGCGGATATCGCTGGCCACACCCCGGCAGCTCTATAAGTCCTCCAACATGACTCAGCGATGGCAAAGACGGGAGATCTCAAACTTTGAGTATTTGATGTTTCTTAATACGATAGCAGGTAAGACATCTCCTCCTCTCCTCTCGTACGAAGTTCATATCCATCAAGGTCCTGGGTCATGGGACGGTGGTCACGCGGTTCCTCTTGGGAATTCGAAGGCAGCCTCGACTAGTATCGCGGCAGCCCCGCGAGCTGGTACCAGAGAGCACGCCAGTGCCACGGTCTGCACGCGTGTGTTGTGGGAGGGCTCCTCGGTCCTCTGCAGTTCCTTTCTGACAGCTTCGTCGGAAGGTTTATTGGAGCCAACAAACCATTGCCAGAGAGTGACTGGAAATAATAATGGGAAATGTAATTTCACTACTTCGTCATTCTCAGCGATAGCAGCTAGACAGCAGAGTGACATCAGGGTCCTGCCTAGTATAGATGTCACCTGGATTATGGCATGATTGGGTTACAGCATTTCTTCCCCTTAAAATCTTCAAATAAAAATACGGAATCAGATTACACCTCTAAATGATGAGTAGCTGCCATCAACCTCGGCAGCAGCACGCTTATAAATTAAAAGGAGCGGCCCCCTTCCTGCTGCGTCAGTGGCTGTCAGCCGTGAAGCGGCTCTGTGCGGAGTGAGACCTCGTCCTCGCTTCCCACGTTAAGCCTCAAAAGCCCGTATTCATGTAGAATTACAGTTTACTTTTGGAAATCGGGTGCTACCAAAATTTGTTGCCATCATATGATTTAAATAACTACATGATTGTTATTCTGCTCTCAATGCCTGCTCAGAACAATGAATTTAGTGTTCTCTGAATTAGTGCTTACAAGGATTACTGCGTAATATTATTCTCTGTATACATGTGTGCATGTAGATGCTATCACTATATATCAAATATGGGTGAAACTATGTATCAAATAGGCAAAAGTACTCAATTTATCAACAAAAAGGGATAAAGTTGTTTGAAATGTTTTTGCATTTTAATCATTTAATAAATATTGTAATGTCACTGCACTTACTAATAAGATACTAGTGGTAGAACCAAAGGACTATTTTATTAAATATATTAAATTTTATGTACACATCTCCATTATAAACATACATCTTCTGATATCTTCATGACATATTTTATATGTATTCATGTATCAGGTCAGATGCTGAATTATATCTTAAACCTATTTACTTGTTCAAATATGAAAGGAAAATGGTATACTAGTTATTAGCACATTACTTACATATATAGATAGAAGAAACTAAAATATCCAAAATGTAAAGAACTTAATTTCATTAGCATGTTTGTAGCAGAAGGGGCACAGCTCAAAGCCAGAGACAGCTGGGGGGGTTCAGGGTTACCAGCGTGTGTGCGGAGCAGGTGGGTTCCGTGTTCACTGTGTCTCGGACTGAAATCTGCCCGTGGTGACGTTTAGTATGTTCTCATCTGTTGTAACGCTCACGTGTTTGGTCTTTTGTCATCTTGTTTTATACTATTGTTTCAAGTGTCTTCTTGCCTTTATGTACTGTTTTGGATTTTTTGATCATATCAATACCTTTTTTGCCCATTTTTAGTGACTTAGAATGTAGGCATATTAAAGTTACTATCCTAGAGATATGTTTAAATTGTTAAAAACCCTTTAAATTATATTTTATTGTTGAACCTGAAAAGTGAATCAACATTTTTAATCACTCCTATGTAAGATAAAAACTTTAATCCAATTCCCTCCTCATCCATTGCTTATTTTTTCCATGTAATTTACTACCCAGAGCCCATGTTGTTATTAAACTCTTGTTTTTTAAAGTTCATATATTTTTGCGTTAAAGAAGACCTCCAGACTCTCTAGAAACGTCTTTCTTTCAGCTACCTGAGTCTACCTGCTTTTTTTAGGATAATGTTCTTCTTCATTCTGCTACAGTATTCTTCCATAGTCCCCGTGTTACGATTTCTGTTATCTGTTCTTGAAAGATGGACCACGACTGCTCGTGTCCATGTGTCACAGATGGGCGTGTGCTGCCCCCCTGGGCGGGGCCGCCACGGGGCCGCTGGGTGGATAACTGGAGGACAGGGCAGCACACCTCACGCCAGCTCGGTATCCAGTCGAGCCGGTGCTCCTGCTAAACATTTCTGCGTCCCAAGACGGGGTCCCTGGGTCTCTGGGGGGGTGTCATCTGGGTCACTGCTCCAAAGGCCTCTTCTGGGTCCCATCCCTTCCCGGAATGTTTGACTGGTGTCGGGTGCATTTGGGTCTTCAGCACGGTCACACGGTAGCTGCGTGTGGCCTGAAGCAGCGGTGCGACCGCGTACGGCCAGGGAGCCCCGAGGGGAGCGTGGCGGGCTCTGGATGTGAAGCCAGGTTGCCATCCTTCTGTGAGCGTCACTGAGCGCGCTCCTGGCACTGCAGGGGAGAGACGTGTGGTCCCTGGGGCGCCAGAGCGTAGTCAGGGGACGTACATGGGCAGCAGGACTCCAGTGAACAGGGATGACGAGTACCATCAGAGAACACGCAGAACCACTTGAAGTCATGGGCACAGAGACACCGCTGGTGACCAAGGGACCAGGAGAGCCTCTCGTCGGCGGCACTTGCGTTGGAAAGTGAAGTGTGAGTAAGAACTCACTGGAAAGTACGCAGAGGGCATTCCCAGAAAAAGGAAAATGTGCAGGAAGCATTGGATTAGTGGAGGGGCAGCAGGTGTGGCAGATGGTGGGGGGGGGGGTAAGTGACAGAGAGACATGATGTCATAACAAAAGGTGGAAGTCGCCCTGGCCAGTTTGGCTCAGCAGTTGGAGCGTCCGCCTGTGGTCCAGAGAGACCCGGGTTCGGTTCCCGCTAAGGGCACGTACCCTGGCCCTGGTTGGTCGTGCGGGTGGCAGCCACTCGATGTGTCCCTTCACATCGATGTTTCTCTCTCTCTCTCTTCCTCTCTCTCCCTATCTGAACAAAAAATGGAAAAATATCCTCAGGTGAGGATAAAAAAAAGGTGGAAGTCACTGTGATATGCTCCAGGAGAATGGTGGGCAGTGTCCCCTGACCGCGGCTCAGTACACCTGGAGTCCCTAGACATGTACATTCTCAGACCTCCTCAGACCTACTGGGTCAGAAACTCGGGGTCGTGGGACCCAGAGACCTGCATTTTGACTAGTGTTCGGTGTAGAATATTTGAGCACCATTGTGCTAACCATTTCGGATCTAATTATCAGAACAGTGTTTGTATATAAGTTCATTCAGCACATACAAGACGCGTGCATTTCAGTGTCGTTGCCTGAAACCTGTAGGAGGTCAGAGAGCAGGATGAGGTAGCAGGGAAGCTTCCTAGAACCAATGGGCGTTAACTCACAGGATTTTGTCACACATAGAGGCCTATCCTGGCAAAACGCACCTTTATACAGAAGCAGAGAAACAGTCGGAGAAGGTTATGAGCACTATTGTCCTCAGAAAAAGTAGTAAACCATTGTTAACGTTTCTTGAGCGATTCACAGTGTTCTAAACATGATTTGAAGCGCTTCACGTGTACGCCCTCAGTTAGTCCCACCAGGAAGCCCAGGGCCAGGTTCTTCCCGCCTTCCAGCTGGCGGGGGTGCGGGGCAGGGAGGTGGGCCGGGCCAGCGCAGAGTGGCGGGGGGTGCGGGCACAGGATTCTGTGCAGGTGGTCGGCTCCAGAGCTCACTGTACAGACCCCTCGGGATGCTCCAGGCGCCCCCATTTCACCCCTGGTCACCCGCCGTAACCTACTGACTGCCTTAAAAGCCTAAACAACTAATGATTGTAAACAGTTTCATCCAAAGCAGCTTTTCGGGGGGAAGAAGCCTTGGAAGCTCACTCATGGTCCTGACGTGCGGAGATACTGGAAGCGGGCCCAGAGTCTCATCGCTGATGTAGAACCTGGTGCGGGAGGCTCGCCGGACAGTGTCTGGGGCGAACGTCCGTGGGGCCGGGAAGAAAGCGGACCCGGCAGAAGTGGACGCCCGTGGGGCAGGGGAGAAAGCGGACCCGGCAGAAGCGGACGCCCGTGGGGCCGGGAAGAAAGCGGACCCGGCAGAAGTGGACGCCCGTGGGGCAGGGAAGAAGGCGGACCCGGCAGAAGTGGACGCCCGTGGGCAGGGAAGAAAGCAGACCCGGCAGAAGTGGACGCCCGTGGGGCCGGGAAGAAGGCGGACCCGGCAGAAGTGGACGTCCGTGGGCAGGGAAGAAAGCGGACCCGGCAGAAGTGGACGCCCGTGGGGCCGGGAAGAAAGCGGACCCGGCAGAAGCGGACGCCCGTGGGGCAGGGAAGAAGGCGGACCCGGCAGAGAGATCCAGCCCCGAGGTAGTCGCTGCAGAAGCCCCGCAGGTCCCGCAGGGAGCCGGGCCTGGGATGGAGCTTCGGAGTGGTCTCGCCTCGGGGCTAGGTGGCCCAGCCTTGGTGGCCCCCACTGGGCAGTGATCAGATCAGCCGGGGGCCGGGGTTAGCGGACTCCCTTCGGACGGTGGCGGCTCGTGGAGAGGGACTTGCGGAGCAGCACCTGCGACAGCACCAGCAACATCCCCGCCAGCCTGGGTCCGGGAAGCTAGTGGGTCCCACCCTCACCCAGAGGTGCGGCCACGGGTCTCGCCCTCAGGGCTCCTGACTCGTGGGTTTGGGGTGCTGCTCAAGAACGCGTTGCTGAGGAGGCACCAGGTGATGCGGATGGATACCTCTGGTCCAGGACCACATTTTGAGAAACTCTGCACTATATCGATATTCTTTTATTTATTTATGTATTTATCCTCAACCAAGGACACTTTTGCATTTATTTTCAGATAGAGTGGGAGGGGGAGAGAGGCAGAGAGAGAGAAACATCAGTGCCAGAGAGACACGTGGACTGGTTGCCACCCACACACCCCAACCAGGGCCGGGGACCAACTGTGACCGAGGTACGTGCCCCGAGTGGGAACGGAACCTGGGTCTCTCTGGCTTGTAGGCTGATGCTCTAACCGCTGAGCCAAACGGGCCAGAGCCATCGATGTTCTTTTACAAACACGTCTAATAACTGTACTGATCTGTAGCGCTCACGTCTTCTCTGACACTGTCTGTAGCACAGGGCACTGACGGTAGTGTG